TCAAGTTTACGGACTACGGCTGTTTGAAAGATTTTCTTCCATAAAATTAATCGATTCTAGACTAATCCGACTCAAAATTGCTACAATACGTATATATTTTTTGGGAATAATCCGTATAAACTACGCTATAAACAAAAAATTGTAGGATTACTTACCGAACTTATCGCCTAAACTCTCCGTAGCGTGGCGCTGGACGGCGGAAAGTATATAAATAATTATAATAAAGTTACAATAAATTAAGTTAATATATAATTATATATACAGTACCTAATTTATATATAATTAATATATAATTACCTAATTTATATATAATTTATATATAATACTGTACAGACAATAGCAAACTCAATTTACCCGCCTAAACTTTCCGTAGCGTGGCGCTGGACGGCGGAAAGTAGTTCGGCTGCTCCATCCACTATTGGTCCAGATTCGACCATCCACTATTAGTGCAGATTCGACCAATCTTGTTGCGACACGAGTCGGCGACGTCGTTTTACGAGTCCCTTTATACGAATACTGCCGCAATTTTTTCGCTACGTTATAGGAATTTCCGTTATAGGAACCCACGTTATAGGGGGTCGACTGTATATACTTTCTTACTACGTTTATTTATATGTAATAATAAAAATACATATACAGCCTTGCATTTTTATTAATCATGTTTTTTTCCGTTTGTGGGGGTTAAAGAATCCGTTTAACGTCGATTGCTTTTCTCTGTTCAGAATTTTTCAGAAGTCATAGCATTGTAATTTTAGAGATCCCCAAGCCTATTAACCTCAACCCGGTTTGGATGCCATTGTAAGACCGTTGTTCCGATATCCTCCCACTTCTTCAAAGGATCTTTAATAACAGATATCGGCATTAATCCTCTTTTTCAGAAGAAAACATATCTCGACGAGTTTCTTGGTCTTCTTCTGTCGTCAGATCCGTTATGGGTTCCATTATGAGCTCTTCGATGTTCTTTATTTCTCAGATGTGATTTTTGTTACTCCTTTAGCTGCGCGAGTCTTCTTGATTACGTATATAGTATCTTTCTTAGATAAGATTGAACTGCGGCCTAGTGTAGACCCGTTCGATCCATACTGCCCAGCAACATCAGACATCTTCCGCCCACTCTACCTTTGCTATTATACTCTCACCTTTCGAAAATAAAAACCCACGCTAAACTAAACGAGTGCCCGCCCGACAGTCTCGCGATTATTATAAAAGAATTGCTTCTGTCGGAAAAATAAAAGGCTGGAATTACAAGGGAGTATATCAAAGTTTGGAGGAATACTATCCGATCAGTATGTGCTGACCGGGTTGAGCGTCGATGTCGACGTTTCCCGCGCTCCGAAAGTTTCGAATTGTTTCCAGTTATTTTACGTCGCTTCTTCTTGTGTTTATTCTGTGAGGTGTACGTTATCCGAACGTGTGTTCGTTGTCCGAGCATAAAAATCTTTCGCGAAAATGTTCGTTATCCGATCACCCATTGTATAAATTATTGTAAATATCAAAAGGGATAACATACCGAGATAAATGTATGTAATCCCTTTGTTTAAAATTATATATCTAGTTATATTTGGTAAATTTTAAATTTATGGAGAAAACATTTCCATAAACAGGAATCTTCAACTTAAACTGAACAGTGAAATACACAGGATGTATTTGCGTCACAGTGTGTAAGTAAAATCTAGCCATGTACAGTACTATAATGCCCAAAATTTTCACTAAAGAAATGATAAAAAGGATGAAAACTGCATTTTCATCCTTTTTATCATTTCTTTTGTCATTTTTCATTACCAGATGAAAGATGCAGTTTTTCATCTGGTAAACAGAATATATCTTTGCACTGTAATCTGTTCATCTTCAAAAAACTACTCACAAAGTCAACCAAAATCCAGCAATTAAACAGTTGCACGAACGTTTTCATGTACCTTCAAGTAGACATCCTGGGGTGAAATACGGTATTACGATTCTACGAGAAAATTCTTAATTTAGAATCGCACGTGCCACGTGGTAGGTGTGGCGCCCGGTTATTGATGGACGACACTTGAAGAAATATGAGATTTACAAGGCTTCCATAAAAAACGCGCCATTAATTAGAAGGACGCGTAGTCATTCTCCCCCCGCTTGAAAGTTGTACATTCATGAACTTCTAGCTCACGACGTTCCTCTGACGCAAATTCTAAGACGTCATCTGTATCCACCAATAGCCAGGCGCCATACCTACCACGCGGCACGTGCTAAATTAATTTTCTCGTAGAATCGTAACACCGTATTTCACCCGAGGATGTCTACTTGAAGGTAGATGAAAACGTTCGTGCAACTGTTTAATCGCTGGATTTTGGTTGACTTTGTGAGTAGTTATTTGTTTGTATATCCAGTATTGTGTTGTTATTCTGTTAATCTACATTAAAGATGTTTCAAATTTCGAAATAAAATCTCTCATCGTACTGCAATGGCCGATATCATTCATTTTTTCAATTTAGAAATAAAACGTAGTATCTTTGAATTATATTCTCTAAATTTTAACTGAAGAAGTTTCGGTTTTTCAACGGTTTAATAGCGCTTGTAATTAGAAGGTTAAAGCGCGGATGGGTACCAATCCGTAGACTTTGTTTTCCGACGGGTCGTATAACAACGTAACGCCACTTATTCAACGGAATAAATCTCTTTTAATACGTTGTTTGTGGATCGAAAACGTAATTTAAAATAATTGAAACCACGACTTTCGCTCGTTTAAATGAATATTTCGTAATAATTGAGAATATAGTACGGATTACGTATTTTAAATGAATAATTATGTTGCTTAATAATCGTTTTATTATAAAACTAGCAGACCCCGCCACGCCTTGTTGTGGCTCAAAATGTATCTATTATAAATGTATAACANATCACCGGTTTAACATCGAAATCCGTGAGTAATATAAAATCGGAGAGCGGAATAAATATATCAAATATTTTAATGGATTTTTTAAAACTCCTGTCAACTATACAGGAAAGTATCATAAAAACATACAGGTAAATTCTTATCGGTTGGGTTAAGTTATAAATCTACTGTACTCGCGATTCACGTAATCGGGCAATGGCGGCCAAATATCTAGCGGGCGGCGGCTAACAGCCCAGAACCGGTCCAGGATAGAATTGGAAGCGTTATATGTGTAGCATCAACCCAAGGTTGTAGGCTTCCACCAGATAAACCGGGTGAGGTTGGTGCTCTGAAAAGCGCATGCGCAAATTTGGCTTTTTGGAATCTGACAATACAGAGATTCCACTCCGCCACTAATATTCTAATATACAATAGCAATTTTTTTTTCACGTGTAGTATAAAAATTTGTAATAAGATACATAATGCGGTTATAATAAAATATTGTGCGATTATTTTCATATAATTAAAATTAATATGTATTTATTTTTTATAAAGTACAAGGGAAGCGGCGCTTCCACCGCTTCTAATGACCGCACGCCACTGGTTCATCATATTTCCAAGTATATTCTGCTTGCTCACTACTAAGACAGATTTTATTTTTTTGCAATTTTATTAGAAAACCATAGTGCAAATGATAAAAGAACTGCAACTATCACATTATTAAAGTTTTTTGTTTTATAATTTGTTCATTACAACTGTAATTATAGTTTGTTTATACACAAAAAAGAAATCAAGTCTAACATTTGTGAATTTTATTTGTAAATTTTAATTCTTGTTGATTGTTATACCAAATAGATGATAGATGCTATGCATTTATTACTCATACAGTTTTTGAGTCACTTTTGAACCCTTCTATCCATGCTGTGCACAATAATCTACTTTTGGCAAATCCTCTCCCCTTTAATTATGTGCAAAAGTTCATGCACTCCCAACATTGAAAAAAAATGACTTAGAAAAATATAGGGTAATTCAGGTGGCATTTTATCACAAATGGTGTCACATGTGTCTGCTTTTGAAACTATCACTATCACAGGCCATTGTTATGCTAACTTGGAGGAAAAGCAAGTATTAGATGTTGTGATATTCATATATGATGGAGCACCACCCATGTTGCTTTTCCTATGAAACAACTGTTACTATCATTATTTGGAGAAAACCATTCTATCAGTTTCTTGAGAGAAGGTCATGTTTAATGGCCTTCCCTGAAACTGATAAAAAGATAAACTGATAAAAAAAAAACTTCTAAAAAGAAACTTCTAAGGCCATTAAACATGGCCAAAAACATTTGTTCTCCCAAGAAACTGATAGAAAATGTGTAAAAAGGTTTTGTGAAACTTATTTAAAGAAGTTCTAGCTTTCTGTGCATAGAATTTCACTTTCAGACTGAATGACCACCTAAGTGTCAGACCTGTTGTCCTGCAATTTTTGGTTATGGGGCTACCCAAAGACATGAATTTACAGAGATTGCCCAACATCACTGGCAATGCTAAAAGACTTTATACCGTGGAAGGCATCAATGATACCTTGAGAAATGCTGTTTCATACTGTCCATAACATTGTTACTTGTCTTCAGGCCAAGCTCCACAACAAAGTTCATCCCATTGAAATTTGCTATGATGTAGTTCTGTATGGTGTTATGGATCAAAATCCCATTTGATGAACATAACTTGAACTAAGTTTGACATTTTTATGGCAAAACTCTACGCATTTCTATGCTAACTGCATCACCAGGAGTCAAAAATTCATTAAAAACATTTGTTATTAAATAGTTTTACTGCTTAAAAGTTGTGAATGTGTTTAATTGTCAAAAATTCACTGAAATATTGATTTTTCAAATGTTAACAGACTTTTGAATCACACTGTATTTGAAAAACATTTTTATCTGATACTTCATTCATGTGACTAGTAAGTAGACTTATAATAACAAATTTGTATGCCTCTAATAACACTAAAAAGGCATCTGCAGAGACAAGGTCAACTACCTCCCATTCTATTGTGAAAAATGATATATTTTTTGAAATTTCCTTCCCCTTTAAACCATTCACATTATTATTAATGGACATTCTGTATTATTAATGAACAAAACTGCCAATTTCTTTCCAAATTCAATGACCAGTCATGGATTAAACAAAAAATTCTTAAATAGATCTATGTACTATTTTACAGTATTTATTAGTAGTACTGTGTGTTGTGTGTATGTTAACCAAATTATATGTGAATCTCATGGAATAATGTTAATAGCAATTAACTGATTAATCATTTTTAGCACATTAACATAATTTAAATAATTGTTACTTACCTGAATTTAAATTTGAGTCCTTTGCTCAATGGGAATGACCAATTTGACTCTATACGTAAAAAAGAATTTGGATTTCTCACAGTAAAAACTTGACTAGATAGATAGGAAATATTCTCGGTTGTACAATACGTCTGATGCAGTAGATACATAAACAAACATGAAGCAAATTTTCTAAGCATAATGCCTTTTTGAAAATTAACCTGTAGAAATAAAAATTGTATTGATTTTACAAATAATGTTTTATTTCAAAAATTAAAAATTTTGTATTTTGCAAATATTATATATTAAAAAATTAATCTAACAAACAATTTTTGGAATTTTATTTGAACTAAAATAGCCCATTAATCCAAAATAAATTTGGCTAGAGATAAGCAATTAGGCCACTATTTCATGACATATTTAATGATTATAAATAGCTATCTTTATTGAATGCTTTTTTCAGATAGCCAGTCATTTAAATTTAAATAATTTGCTATCTGAAATAAACATTTAATACAGATAATGTGGCGCCGTAAAACCCATAAAGTAATATTTGATAACTAAATTGCCTTTTAGACAAATTACTTTGTTTCAGATTATTAAGTGTAATATTATAAAGGAATGTACTCTGTCTTGCAGCATTAAAACCAATGTTTTATTCAAAGTTGCAAGTACTTTCAATAGTTTATAACTATCCTCTTCAAGCTGATTCAAGAAGACTCACATCAAATAAAAAAATGATTTGATGCAAATTTACTCAAATCAGCCTTGAAGAGGATAATTGTAAATTCTTGAAAGTATTTGCAACTTTGAATAAAACATTGATTTTAGTGCTGCAAGACAGAGTATCTTACTTTATAACAGTGCGTTTAATTTTCTTATTTCAGATTATTAATTATACTTAACATAATCCAATAAAAATGCAGCAGATTGTTTAGTAATTCTAATGAATTGGATTATGGATGTTAGTTTTCTAGCTTAATATATATATAAAGCTAGAAAACTAACACAAAGAGAAACATTCTGATCATTAAGTTATATTAATTTTGCTAACAAATCCTTTTTTGATTTTTTCTAAAAGGATCCAAATCTGAACTCTGATCAACTGAACAGAGAAATGTTTCTTGCTATTTTTTTTTTTACCAGAAAATAGTAACTCAAAACATAAAAGTTCAAATAGTTTTTAATTCAAAAGATACAGAACTTTGTGCCCAACGACATTCAGAAGGTAGAGAAAGTTAAACTTAATCTTACATGACATATTAGATAAAGGTTGGTTTATTTTTTGTTTTAATGTAGTCAGATAGAATAGAATTAATTCAGAACATATACAGAATATATATATATATGTATTGTTATTCATATCTTAAAAATATTTTGCTTATAACTCAACATTTATTTTTCTCCTAGAAATCTAAATTATTAATTACATATCCAAAATCTACATTCTAATTTGAAAATCTATGCTATCGCAGCATGTAAGAACAGAAAATACACTTGTGTCCAAAGAATCAACATATTTGTCTAATCCAGTGGCGTACCATAGTGGGGGCGGCCCGCCCCAGGCGGCACTTTTTAGGGGGTGGCAAAATTTCATAATAAGTAATAATAATATCTTGTAAAAATTTGAAACATCCTAATCTACTTGCATCGCGCCTACGATAGTGGTATCGTCCAGACAGTCCAGGAATCGGCTCGCCGGGTGAACTAGTAACTTTTCATCCGAGGAATTGCTGCGAGACCTGTTGACCTTTTTTTTTTGCTTGTACGATTCATTCGCATTCATATATACCACTAATATCCAATAGAACTATTTTAAACAGGTCGCTGCACTACCACCGAATGTTTCATTGCTTGTTCTGTGACAAAACTGAATTTTGGCCTTTTAAATTGAAATACCTAAATAAGGGGGGCCTGAAATTTTCCTCCGCCCCGGGCGGCTGACACCCACGGTACACCACTGGTCTAATCCATAAATAAACAGCAGAAAATTTACTTTTTTCCATATTTTGTTTATGCATTTCCAGATTACAAAAATATTCAGAATATAGCTTAGTATTCCATTGAAAAGCATACATTTATTCAAAATATAAAGCATAAATAAAGCAGTAGCACGGCATTTTTTCTGTTGCTGTTTAACCAACTGGGAAAATTTCTTATTATTTTACTGTACTCAAAGATATAGTTGCATGGACTGAGTGTCTCACACTAACATCCTTCTGCCTCTCATCTCTGCCAGCCACCGCCACCCCCATTCAAGTTTAAAAGTAAACAACCTGAAAACGAAATCACAAACATATGACTGTTGAATACTAGATGAAACAGAAAAACAGACTCAAATACTAGGCTATATGAATAGCCGTGAGGTAAGGCAGAATAAAATTCAATACTTATTCAGTAATTTTTCTTTTTATTATGCATTATCATGCATAAATTATCACAGGTTTGCATATGGCTTGCATATAACATAGAAGGAGCTATCATATTAATATGACAGCTTCTGGAAAAACAATTTGTTGCTATTGATCATGAGCTATAACATTTTTACAGTAGCCTATCCATCTAAGCTAAGTCTACAAAAGCAATCAGCCACTGAAATGACTAATACTCAGAAATTTCAGACTTAATTCCTGGCTGCTGAATAGTAATGTCATAACGACACCACATAAATGATTTTACAAAAGAAAGAATTACAGATCTACAAAAAATCAAAGTAAACAATTTTAAGTGAACATTGTAATGAAAGTGATTTGCATTATAATGTGGGTAACATGTGAATAGTAAAAAGTCTAAAAAAAATGGGCCTTAAACTTGTTAAGAAACTAGCAAGCCAGGAGCTTTCCAATGCATCCATCCAAGAGAGATACTGCAGGTCTCGGCCATTCAATCACATGCCGAAGAAAAATAAGTGGAAAAAGTTTATCACAACCGACAAAGCTCGGTTCTGTCTCACTAAATGTCGAGGCAAGAAGAAGGTCTGCTACATTAACGGGCACCAAAATTGTTCCGAAGCACCACCGTCAACTTGGGCATCTCATCTGCAAAGGGTTACGGTTTAGGCCAAAATTTCAGCAAAGAAAACAACAAAGCCAAATTTCACGAAACCCGGGGGAGGGGGAAAGTATCATCAAAATACTACGTCAAGAAAATCCTTTGTCCTTTCTTCCAGTCAGATGCCAAGAGACCTTTTCCAGACGGCAACTTTGTATTTCGTCGGGACTCTGTGCCTTCTAATATGGTAAAGACTACAATTCCATTCCTATAGGAAAATAAAATTGCATTTATTAGTTTCGAAACACTTCTCCCGAGTTTATTTCTATTGGGCTACTCGAAACAAGGAATAAAAAAACGAAAAGAGAGCATATTAAACAAATTAAAATGTGTCATTCAAAAAAAAATTACAAAAGTAGTCCAAGAGACAACAGATCGAGCTCTAATGGCTCGGCCGCATAGAGCAAGAAATATATATTATGCAAAAGGTAAATGTAAGATTTATAGCAAGCTAAAAGCGTTCACTTTGATTTTTGTACACCCGTATCGAAGGAGTAGAAGCGGGGCCAGTCATAGACGTATCCGGAACTCCAAACGTGTTACAGAGAATAGTATCCAGGCTTTGGACCAGAGTTTGAAGAATGGAAGATGTGGAACATCAACCAAAAAGTAGACTTCCAAATGTTATCACTTTTCAACAGCTGCTATCTGACATTTATTTATGCAAGGGATGCTACTGCAAGACGGTACAAAAATAAGGTTTCGGAACTCCATTTCAAACTTTTCCAAGGAACTTTTTCGCAAATCGGCCAACCTCCAAGCCGATTTTCGGGAAGACGAGACGTCGAGTTCCCGTTTCCCTCCGTCTCGCCGCACGTCGAGCATCACGGGCGCGGCATCCGCACCCATTCCAAAACGATGCCCGGTTCGAAATCGGACTTTTCCTTCTCCCAAGCATCAAAATTAACAAAGTCTCACAAAAATATATATTTTAAAAATATCTTCATACATTTAAAGTACTCAAAACTGATTTCATTTTCTTAATTCTCGAAACATTTTCGTTTAGTTTGGGTTCAAATACACATAAAGATCGACCGTTATGAGAAAAGCCGTATTAATAAAAGTACAGAACGAAGAACGCAGCTAGTAGTTCCGTATCCGGAACCGTCCAGGAAACCGTTTCAAACTACCGGCGTTCTTCGGAAGACCTTTAAATGAAAACATTCGTCGGCTTTACCACATTTTTTAAACCACACTATTTCCAATTCTTTTTACTGCGTATAAGGGCAATCCCCGACACTTCTATACGACGCAATTTGCAAAAAAGTTTTATTCCGAACGAGTAAATTATTATTTTGATTATAAATCGGCACGTACAGAAAGAATTCCCAGATCTTCCGGGACGTATTCCAATTTTTGAAATGTAAAACGAGCCACCGCGTCGTCATCCACCAGCGCGTTTTTACGTTAATGACGATTTTAAAAGTAGATTTCTTAACATTTTACACGGAAAAAGCAACCGTGGGAAATGCGTAACCTTATTTTAAATAATTTAAATGTTTTGGCGGTTTTATAGGAAACTTCTGGTGAGTACGGGGCTATTTTAATACGATAAGAGGGCGGTGGAGCAGGTAAATAGCGTCTTCCGTACGTTGATTTTACGTAAACAAATTTCGAACGGAGGAAACGTAAATTGGCGGCGGTACAACGGGGCGCGCGAAGTTTACGGAGGCGGTAACGCACCGTCGAAATCGCCGCGAAAATACAAACGGGCTCTTTCGGACGGAATTTGTCTTTCCGGAAGCGGTGGCCGACGACGGCGCCATCTTCCGGCCGTTTACGGAAGTCGTCGGACCCCGACCGGAAATTCTTCGGCTTCCGGAAAAGTCCGTCGGATCTCGGAAACCCCCGTTCCGACGGTCAACCGCGGCCAGCGCCATCTTATAAGTCGACAGCCGGCACCTACGAAGAGGCCGCGGCCTCGGCCCGGGTCGGCTCGTATTCTGCGGACTTCCGGTAGCGCCGGATCCGGAACTCCGGGTCCTTTCCGGCTCTTCTCTCCTACCCGGCGCGCGCGACAACAGACGGAAGCTAACGTCGCCCGCTACCCCCGACACCGGCGGCGTAGTTCTCGGAAACGGTGCCGGCCGTCCGTCGGAAGGCTCCGGAAAGGGATTTCCGTCGCCCGACCTAAACGGAAATCGGTCGTACCTTAAAAACGGGAACGACGGAAGCGTTCGGCCGCTTCCCCCCTCCGCTTCGACTAACCCGTCCTCGCGCCATTTCGCTCGAAAGCCAGAATTGCAACGAAGGAAGACGGTCCGGTTAAAACCACCGGAGGGACAGAGGAACGGGTCGACTCTTACCTTTCGACCTTCGATCTCTTTTATTGGGCGCCGCTTGCCGGGCGGAGGAAAATCAAGCGGAGAAAACGGCCGGACGGAAACCGAAGAACATATCCGTCGAACGCGGGACCGGGATCCTGGCCGGGGCGCTCCTTCCGGACGTCGTCGGTTCCAAACTCGGAGAGTCTGCGCCGGCGACCTTGGTTCTCCCGCGATTCGCTCCGACTTCGTCTACTTTCTTAACTTTTAGTTTGGGTTTTCTTCGACAGATGGCGCTTCGAAGATTTCCGTCCCGGCCGCGTCTTTTCGTCGGGAAGGAAATCGTTGTAAGAGTTAGCCCAGAAGATTAATGGATACCGAAATAAATGGCGCGAAGGAGGGCGGAATTATTTCGCCGACCGTCCTCCGCTTAAAATACGCGTGTAATTAATTAGCCACGCGTCGTCCACGACGTTGGAGCTCGGACCGGTTACCGACTCGCCGCAATCCTTACGACGGAGTTTCTGTTAAACGCTTTAATAGAAGCGACGTCCTTCATTCGCCATCGACGAAATGCCGATTCTCCGCAACCTTTCCGCCCGGCGGCTGGGAAAAGAGTTTCCGTAAGGGGTGGCGGTGGGAGAACGGATTTTAAAACGTGTCCGCGTCACTTACGAAACCACCGAAGTGGACTACTACCGATCCGTTGGTGGCCGTGTTCGAAAACTACGGCTGTTCTGGTACTAAGGTTTTCCTTTGCCGATACTTTTTGGCTAAGTCCGGCCAAACTCCGTTATTTGTTTCCGAAAGAAACCTCTTACTATTCCGTTTCTACCTGACGTATTTCTAATACTTCGGATCGGCGGCCGAGCGGCCGGGTGGCAGCCTACCGCTCCGGGGACCCGGAATGGCACCGAACGACCCAGGTTACGTCGGGTCCCGTCCCATTGCGGCCTGATCGTAGCCGTAACGGGCTGACTAACACGGGCCCGCTTAATGTCCACGGGGCGAAAGAAGTTTTAGGAATTTAATAAAATAAAAAGATGCAAAATAATATTAGAACCTTTCTACACCGAGAAGCGTTCCAGAATATGGCTGCAATATTTTTCGAACGATAGTCCAGCGTTGATAAAAGTTGTGTACGCAATTTGCCGTCACGCTCGAAAACTATAGATCAGTTCAGTAAATGAACTTAAGTACTGTACATGGGTAAGTACGCTCCTGTCGTCTAGTAAAAGAACTGGTTTCGGTGCGCGACGTTTGCTTACTGTGCGCTTACTGTGACGTCAACTGCACAGCACAAAACCATGTGGAACCAGTGGCGTACAGTCGGTATTAGCCGCCCGGGGCGGAAGAAAATTTCGGCCCCCTTATTTAGGTATTTCAATTTAAAAGACCAAAATTCGGTTTTGTCACAGAACAAGCGATGAAAAATTCGGCGGTAGTGCAGCGACCTGTTTAAAATAGTTCTGTCGGATAATAGTGGTGTATATGAACGCGAATGAATCGTACAAGCAAAAAGAGAAGGTCAACAGGTTTCGCAGGAACTCCTCGGATGAAAAAGTTACTAGTTCACCCGGCGAGCCGATTCCCGGACTGTCCGGACGATAGCACTATCGTAAGCGCGATGCGAGTATAGATTAGGAAGTTTCAAATTTTTACTAGATATTATTATTATTTATTGTGAAATTTTTCCGCTCCCTAAAAAGTGCCGCCCGGGGCGGGTCGCCCCCACTACGGTACGCCACTGTGTGGAACAGAATTCAACAAAACGCTCATCCTCCCGTTTTCTCCCCGAAATCTAAATCATTAATACCGCGGATGAGGATACGGATGCGACCCGATCCGTGGTATTCGGACGGATGGATTTCCAAAGAACATCATTATATCATGGTCTATAAACGCAATGTCTGGACACGATACTGTGATAAATTGCGGCAGTCGTCATATTGATTCCTTTGTGGTAGTGTATACGACGTTTGTAGAGAGAATTCGGTTCTGTTTTTTTCGATCTCAATTAATTTGATTTCTTATTACCTACTTTTGTTTTAAATGATTTGAAGTTCGGTACCGAATTGTAAAATTTCGTCAGCAAAAGACTAAAGATTGTTCCGTTTACTCGCTAACGAAACTGGGAGAGCTAAATGGCTTCTATTGGGAAGCACCACTTTCAATAGAAGGCGCTGGGAGTTTCGACGAAAAGGTGGTAGATGTTTTGCTTACGTTTGTGTTGGCTGTACGCGTTTTGCTTTTTCCACTCGTAAACCGTATTAGAATTCGATATCCTTGTATGTTATTACGGCGTTACCATTAAACGATGCGTTAGAATACCTTACATAAGAAGAATTGGGCAAAATGTATTAAAGGCAGACACGAAACGTTATTAGAAAGAAATGTTCATCATCGAGTTTAATTAATTAATTAATAATACGGGATAATTTTATTACATTGTATCTATTCTAAACCTAAACACGTGTTTGAAATGTTTCAGTAAGTAAACTTACAATCTGACTGAAATACCGAATTTTGTTACATTTGATTCTTTAAGTTTTCAGACACTCTTTGATGTTATCACGCAAAGAATAAAGGAATAAGTGATCTCTAGAAATGTATTTTTCCTTCGATCAACTGAAATAGAAATACATGTATTTGTTAAAGAATTGATAAATCTGTTCCAATGAGGTGACGCCTAGTGCCGCATAACTCCAACCCATAGTAATTTCTGAACTAACAGGATCAATTACCAAATGATTGAGTAATGATTGAGATTTGCCAGTCCTACGCATTTCTAGAATAATAATTCGCGAGTCAAATTCTACGGCTGCAAAATATTTAGATCCATGACACTTTCGTGTTAAATCGTTCTTGGATGGAAACAAAATACAGATTTCATATTCATTATGCAATAAAGAGAGGTATTGAAATTTATTAACCTATAATATAATAAAGCTTACAGAATTATTATTTCATGTACTGAAAACTGTTTTCTAGCGAGAATAAAATGATGTACAAAAACTGTCAAATGCTCCTCTACTTAAAATTGTTCTTACGATGTGCTAATTTCGCGGCACGACGGCTAGAAATAATTTTTAATACGAGTATTTTAAAAATTAATTTTTAATGGTAGATACAAATATTTTGATTCGTGTTTAATCTACATAAAAATATTTACACAATCAACATTACAGAAATTTATATAAAAAATATTTACATTAACGACGACTAATTTTTAAAAATTTTTTCGTTGTGTAAAATAAATTATATATTTATAACGCCTACAACATAAACAGAAAAAATTTTATTACGTTTGAGTGAAATTTCTCGTGGCTTATACCGCGTACAACCGAAACTTTTCGCTTTATCACCCTTTCGAATTTCACTTTATTATTCACCAGATGATGAATGCGGCTTGATTATTCAGCAGATATTGTGCCACTTATCAATATTACAGAACAGCCGAGTGTCAACAACTGAGAATTCCAGGTCGTATTAGGTTAGTGGATAAAATAATGTCGAAAATATAAATTTACGGAGTGTTTGAATTAAGTTTTGTAATATAACGTAGCCGAATTTTTTAGATACATTTTGAGGAGTCACAATTTGAAGTTAAAAGAGTAAACGGGAGAAAATTATTTCTGCTGATCATAAAAATAAATGTACAGTACAGTGAGTGATCGGTTAATGAACATAATCCGTTCCAACTTTGTTCGCTATCCGAATTATTCGTTAACCGATTATCGATTCACCATAGGTTTTAATGGAAATTTGATTAATTCGTTCTGGAGACCCAAATAATAAAAAAATACAGTAATACCTCGACTTACGCTACCCCGACTTACGCGAACCCGGAGTTACGCGATTTTCAAATCTCGTCGATTCGTCTTTCGTTTGAGCGCAACGCAACGCAACTCTTGATTACTCACTCCCCCACACTATTGTTCGGCTTACACGTTCGGGCGTGTCGCGCAGAATCGACACATAGCTACAATTTATTTTGTGTTATTTATTTCTGTGTTTGTTATATCTACGGAGACTCGAGAGACTCTATGTGGTGATTTCTCGTAACCGTGAACGAATCAGAAGACGAGATACGATTAACGAGAACATTTATTAGCTTACATACATCCCACTTGGATTTTACACANCTTAACAATTTTTTTTTCGCTCAAATGGTGCATCGAAAGCCTCTAGTTTAGTAGTGTTACAGAGTATAATAAGTATATTTTAATATTTTTAAAAGAATCAAACCATTGAGAAATGTTACATGTGTTTAACAAGGTTCTGAAAACTTTGAAAATGTTAACAACGGGTTCGACCGAACCTGTGCGAACCCGCTGAATATCACCACTGGATATACATACCTGATATCCACCACATATATACCTGATATCCACATACAACATCTTCTTCAATTGTATGAATATACTTTTAAAAAAATTATAATTAAATATAGCTTTGTAATGAAACGTACATGAAAGATTCTTTACTCTTTAACTTAACCACTTAGTCAAATAGCTCCCTACGAGTAGAATCAGAGACGGTCCTGCTATGTGTGCGGTGTGTACTGTACTGTACATGCACGCGGGCTGCCAAATCCCGAGGGTGCCAATACCCTCGGGATTTGGCAATGTCAAATGCTTTTTTTGTCGCATCACTAATATACCTGAAAGGACGCGACAGGGTTCTTGTAAATTTTAAACGTTTCTCACCATAGCTGTAAAAATCTAAATATGTTAAACTTAATAGATTGTCCGTCTTTTGTTTTCTAACTAATTCGTTTTAGGACCGGGTGTTGTCCACGGAAATTTCCAAAATTTACAACTTTTCGGTCACTCTCGACGAACTGAAAAAATTTCTGTCTTTATTACATCTAATACAGTATTTTCGAAGAAATCAATCCCCACTGTACTCGTCTATAGATTGGTTCGGTTAAGCTTTTGTTTAAGTAATATTCCGGCTCTTTCGTTAGGGTTTTGT